TGTCAATGCACTTGGCTAGAGAAAGCGCCTTCCTTTCTCATTGAATCCCCAGGATCCTCTTAGATCAATGTTTATTCTTTGTGCCCAGAGCCTCCAGGCAACTGTCAGGTTTAGAAGGAGGTGAGAAAATAACAAGACAATTAGGAGTATTTCCCTAACATTGTGAAACCACAGTCAGCTTATTAATATAACAGTGGATATCTCAGGTTCACTCCCCCAGACCTGCTCACAAAGCTACTAATTGTGTCCAAGGAACCAGATAATCTTTTTTTTAGAGAAACTGAACTACCTGAGTTGTATGGTGGTCCCCCAGTGAGCAAACTACTTGGTCCCCCTGCAGTAAAGACCACCAGGCAAAAGAAAAATCAGCTCCAGCGGCAGATTTCCAATTTGCTTTTTGGTACTTTATATGAATGGACAGAGAAGGAGGAGCCAGATGTATGAGGAAAGGGTTGAATTTGAAGGAGAAAGGCCAAAAAAAAGTGAAAATAAAAATGGAACTGGGGAGGCATTATGACAATAAATAGAAATTTAAGAGAGAGGAAAGCATAAAATTATATTCTGGGAGAAGAGATGGTATGCCCATAATATCAGAACAGGGAAAAATAAAACATAAACAAGCACTAGGCAAGAAAATCAATGGCTTGATTAAAGAGGATAAACAAAACCAGTATGTCAACAAACTGAAATACATGGTCAAAATAATCCCTGGAAATAGGAAATGTCTTTGTATAGTAAATCCCCCTGGGTGTCTCCTAGGTGCTTCCTCTTCAATAAAAGACTCATACAAAAACACTCTACAATTTCAGAACAGAGTTAACAGTATTCAAAAACAAGAACAGCAGAAGAAAGTAGAGATAACAATTTAAAATTCTAAGAGCATGCCTTGCAATACAAAATTCTTCAAAGACTAAAAAGTAAGTATGAGGATGTAATCCACATATTTTTAAACATTCACAAGAGCTCAGAAAATATCTTACCCGTGCACACTTTTCCACAAAGATAAGTGCTTCAGCAAAATGAACCAAAAAAGGTTCAGATTCAAGCTTCAGAACAGGATAATGTGAAGTTTTGAGTTTGCGGACCCTGCCCTAGACTGCCAGCCACAGTCTAGATTCCAGCAGCAGACAGACACAGAAAAGAAGGGGGGCAATGTGTCTTAGTCACTTTTCTCTTGTCACTGAGACAAAAAACCCTGACACCCAAAGTTAAAGGAGAAGAGGTTTATTTAGCTCACAGTTTGTGGAGGTTCAGTCCATAATTAGCTGGCCTCAAGGCAGAGTGGCATGGCAGAGGGCAACCATTCAGGGTGGTGGGAGACAGCAGAAGCATGCAAGGGCAGGGGAGACAAGCCATTTTCTGTCTCTTATAAAGTATCCAGTCTACCAGAATGAGGGTGGCGCCCATCCAATCAGTGGACTGATCTAGCAATCACCCACCCTAAATCCCAGCACTGCACCATGAATCAGTCGCATACTCTGGATTCAGCCGCCTCAAAAAAAACCCATCTAAAACTACATGGGGCTTTAGGGGGACATCCAGACATAAACCACAATACAATGCTAGGTTATTTTGCATGTTTTAGCATTTGAAAGGGGTTCATAAATGTTTAAATATTTTTGCAGAGCATTGAAAGAGGTAAAATATAGAGAAAACTAAATAAATAGAAAACTAAGTAAATGAATAGCAGACACTATTACCTCTGGGGAGATGGAGGGAGGGTACTGTAAGGGAATAAAGATATGATCACAGTATAGTACAAAGCCATTAGTGACATTTGTTGTCTTAAAAGTATAAACATTGTAATTTAAACTAGAGGAAGAAGGAAATGAGAATGAGGTGTGTATGAGGTTAAATCCTCAACTGACAGAAAGGTCAACTGATGATTAAATTCATAGAGATAGATGGATATTACATGGAAACTCACAGGTAAATAGCAGCAACTTCCCCAGAGTAGCGTGAACTAGAAATTTTATTTTTAAGCTAATGGTTCACATTACTTCAATTAAATAAATATTCTAACATTACTTTGATTGAACTAAAAATTAATTCTGTAAGCATTTTATATGGAATCCATGTTAACAGAAAGCAAAAATGCATCGGTTTAGGTGCTAAGATCTTGAGGGAGTTCTCTGGAAACAAACATTTGAAAAAGAAACTTCTCCACTTAGGTTCAGTTACTACTGTGGCCTCGGTAGTAATCCCACATAGTCTCTGGGTAGATTTTCATACAATGGGGGTACACAGCAACTCAACAGATACATCAATGAGGACCACTGGGGAAGCCTTAATCAGCTCATCTCTGGTGCAGACCTGGAAAAGAGGTTGGAAATGTGTAGCTCTACAGGGTCGGGTAAGAGACATGGTGAGTTAAGAAAGAAGGATGCTAGAGTAAGAAGATGAGGGTTATCGTTGATGTCAAATTGACTGGACCGAGAGACACCGGCCTAGAAGATCAATAAAGCACAGCTCTGGTGTGTCTGTGCGATGTTACCAGAGATGATCGGCCCACAGGCCAGCAAAACAGAGCGGAAGGCTTGCCCTGACTGTTGGTGGCACCATCCAGGGGGTTTACAGCCAGCTAGAGTGGCAAGAGGAAGAGGGAGTGACTCTGGCTGTGCTCAGGAACTGGATTCTGCTTGAGCTAGGGCAGCGTTTGCTGTAGCCGTTCCCTGTGGACATCAGACTCCAGCTTCTCCAGCTGTCAGTGGGGACTCAGGTCGGGCCTCAGCCTCAGAGCAGGCCTGTACCCTCACTCTCTCCTCTAGAGAGCCCTAACCGGCGCAGAAGGCATCCCACGTGGGAATGAGAAGGGCTAGGAATGCACCCACCACCTAAAAGGATCAGAAACTCTCTCAGTTCCAGGCTATCACGGACGTGCAGAAATACAAGGGTTTTTACCGGATTCGTTTATTTTCTATATCATGTAATGTTAAAATCATCTATTTTTAATACAAAGAAAATTGTACAAAGCTTCATGCAAGCCAGGCGAAACCCATTCTTAAGCTTTATGTATTTCACAGCCCCCACCCCCACCCCCAGGTAGCAGGCTTTTAGAGTGTTAACTTCCTGTGCGCAGTGATTATATCCACAATCTTGCTCTGAACGGTACTTAGCAAAAGCACCACACTGAGGTCATTCTTTACTACTGCCCAATTAGAAGAGCTAAAGCATGTGCTCTTATTTCTTGATGAATGAAAACAGCTCTACTTAGAGTTAGTGATATTACAGAAAGAGACACTGAGTGATTTTAAAGTGTTGTGAGCACGCACATCCCTTAGTATTTCAAACGCTGCCTGATGCCTTTTAATCATTGAAGAGTTCCTTGGTAATATTGTCCCCTGATAAACTTTTCCTTATAATTCAGACATTTACTGGAAAATAATATTTTAGCTCCTGTAATCATCAATGAGCTTTTAAGTGTTTTACTAATGTAGGAATAATATGCTCTTGAGATGTTGCAACCAGCTATTGAAAATACTCAAGGTTATAAGAAATATGTACAACAGATAATAAAAAGTGAAACATTGATGATGGAAAATATTTTCCCTTGATCTATAAATTCAACCCTAAAAATGAGAAAACTATACATCTAAGTAAAGGCAATAAATTACTTCTTCATCCATTATCTTAAGTGCAAAACAATAAGACATACTCTCTAGAAAGATTTGTCTATGACTAGAGAAAAAATATAATGCTTGTTATTCATCTAAGTAAGTCTTGGGCATAATGCCAGTGCAGACAAAAATTATAACTGACAGATATGGGTGAAAAGAAAGTCAATACCCAGTCCAAAAATAATTCAAAAATTCACAAATGTATAATTTATAAGCAAGATATTATTTAGACATGCAAAAAATCTTTAAAATGTTAAAAGCATTTAAACTAAAACTATAAGCTAACCAAATTTCACAGTAGGCTATGCTTTAAAATTCTAGTTGTGGTCATTAAAAACTTGTAGCATCTTTGCTTTCTAGAATTTTGAGAACAATTGCACTAAATAAGACCATTTATTTTTATTTTTGTCATAGTAATAGGTAGGTAGATAGATAGATAGATCAGGGATATATAGATATATATAGAGAGAGAGAGACATTGACCTTTCAGAATATGATTGGACAGATTAGAACCTTCAGGCCAATTCTAGCCATTCCTGTTTGCTTACTATTTCTTTTTCTCAAATAAAACCTTACTGCAGAGTTCCAATTCACAGAACAGAGAAGAAGGCTATAGATGTTCCTCTTCAGTTTGTCGTTAAAAAGCAAAATGGTCCAGAGAAAATCCTCCCATGATAAACATTTTCCTGTAACAAACCTTCACAAGGTCTAAGCAAGTGTTAAACATCAGTGTATAAAACAGAGGTAAAAAATCCCATAGTGGCATAAATTTCAAGCCTTTTAAAGGCAGAGACTGCCATACAAGAATACCATATATTCTAAAGGACATTTTCATGGGTCTCAATACATCCATCACTGACTTTTCTTTCGGTACCACACATAATTAGTAGATGTCACCACTTTGCAAGTCATCTGGCCTGTGTTTTTGTGACAATACACTTGATAGCCAGAAAATACACTCCTATTGTGTTTAGTATTTGAAGTAAATTAACAAGCTAAAGTAGTCATAGAAATGTTCAAGATTTGATAAATGGCAAAATACCAAATGATTGTCACAAAGATCATCTTTCTGCAAGTGGGTGGGCTCTTGGAAGTAATCGCAGAAAGAATTACTTAGGAATGATAAGTTCTATATTCAGATTCAGAGACAAGTGTTATTTACTTATTTATTTATTTATTTATTTATTTATTTATTTGGTTTTTCTCCGGTACTGGGAACCGAACTCATGACCTTGCGCTTGCCAGGCAGGCGCTTTTGCCGCTGAGCTAAATCGCCAGCCCCTGACAAGTGTTATTTTTAAAGTATCCACTTCCTATGCCTTAAGCTATTCTCAGTGCAGACCCCAAAATGCCACATTTGCCAAATGAGATGTATGTATTTGTTCTGCTTTTCTCTTTCAATATTTAAATAAAAGAATAATATCATAAAGTGCTTCTCAATCTGTAAAGGGAAAAGAAACTTTTGTATTAAAAAGAATACAGATGTGTTCTAATTGCAAAGAGCTGTGTGCCAATCTCTGGTGGATTTTGCCGCACAAATTGCAGCCACGGATCCTGTTGCCCACACACAATCTCATCAGCAAAGTCCTCTCGCGTTGTGTTCCTGCTCACCCGAGATCTCTGGTATTGACGACACACGTTTTGACTGTAGGGTACACAATGCGTTCACTTTTTTCGTAGGGCTGATGGGCGAACATGATGGTACAATGCCTGTCAAGTATTTAGCTTGATGACGGGTAGAGTAGACAAGGACCAGAGGTAGGCAGCTCTACCAAGACGCTTTGCTGAGCATGCGCTGTGATTGCAAGCTCTACCCATCCGCTAGGCTCTGGCTCTGTCCGCCCTTTGGACCACTCAGATCTCTAAGAGCCACTGATTCGTTTAAATCCCAAAAAGTGACTTAGAAGAATGACTAAGTTCCAGGATGGGTTTGTGTAAGGTGCTGGGGTTCCTGTGAAGTAGAATCCTAAGAGAATCATCCCTGCCTCACAAGCAACCGTTTGAAGAGCTGATGCTCCCGTGTGATAGAATCCTGGACAGAAACGGCCAGGGACGCGTCCGTTATCCCCTCAAGCACAGCGGCTCCACGCAGGAGGAATGGAAGGCAGACTGTCTTAGCAGATGAAAGGAAGCATTAAATATCGGCTATGCCCCAAGCGGAGGAACGTACCTCTGCCCTCCCGGTGGAGCTGCGCTTGCAGCACGGGGACGCCTCCTTCCCGTGCTTTATCACTCTCTCACGCTCAGCGCTGTGACAGGCAGCATTCCCTTGGTATTTAATCAGTGCTATAAACTCCTCGAGAGTGGGAGTGAGTTTCTCCCCCTCCTTTCCCTCTCCACGTCCTAAACTGATTACAGTGGGAAACATTCAGAATAAAAGACGCTTATTGAGTTGAACGCAGAGTTCTTTAAATGCAGGCGCAAATTCCGTCCCACTGTGGGTTTTGTGCATAGGTAACAAGAACTATTAATCTTGAAATTTAAAATACCACCTGAGTTTTCCTTGGCTGGGTACAGCCTCTGAAATGTGAAGTAGGAAGGCGCACACCAAGGGAAACGGTGATTTATGGTCAGACCTGTACCAGTCCGAACGTCTTCTTGTAGTAAAAGAAAAATCAGGAGCCTACAAACAGAGAAAGGTCTTGTGGGGGCTGTTTTGACACTGACCAAAGTCAGCCATGTCCTGTGCCACACGGAGCAGAGACCTCCTGTTACCCCACAAATCCCATCATTTTGCTCAACATTTAACTTGATAAATCAGCTGTTCTTTAGAATTGCTCTCTGAAAATCCCATGGAGAACCGGGATATAAGTGGGGTGTGGTGGTGCATAATTGCAATCTCAGCACTGGGGAGGCTGAACCAGGATGATCAAGAATTCAGGGCCAGCCTGGGGTATGCACTGAAACTCTATCTCAAAAACAAACGAACAAAGAAACCAAAAACCTTGAGATTTGTGCTATCTGTAACTATTTTGTCTCTTTTCCCCTTTCTAGGTCAGTGGTTCTCAGTCCTTTCTAAGTGAACCACTTAGGGAGCTTTTAGAACTACCACTGGCTGAGATGCACACACTTGTAATCCCAGCACTCTGGAAGGCTGAGGCAGAAGGACTTGGAGTTTGAGCACAGTTTAGGTAATGTAGTAACTTAGTGAGACTCTGTTTCAAAATTAATAATAATATAATAATAATAATAATGGGTAGGTACAGTTCAGTGCAAAGGTCTTGTGTTCAATCCCCAGTACAACAAAAGAAAAAAAAAAATTGGGGGCTGGGGATTTAGCTCAGCGGCACAGAGCCTGCCTGGCAAGTGTGAGGTCATGAGTTCAATTCCAGGTACTGGGAAAAAAAAAAAATTACCAAGGCTAGGGCCCAGCCCTAGAAGAATGGCCCAAGCTAATTATCTAAAGTAGGGCCTGACCTTCAGAATTTTTGGAAGCTCAGTACATATTTCAAATGTGTAACTATAGGGTGAACATTACTATTCCAGCCACTCTCCTTCACACACAGAGCTGCAACTACCGTTCATACTAAGGACCTCCCAGCCCATGACTATTTGGCATCTGTCTCTCCCTGCTGGACCACGGTGCTCTAGAGTGAGAACTTTGTTGCTTGATCATTTTACCCCAACACCAAACACAATGTCTGACGTGCAGAAGATGTTCATTAAATATTTCTTGATTAACTCAATTTCATGACAGTGGTGTGAGATTTTTCTGAAAAAAAAAAATTTATTTTTAGCTGTGTCAGCATTTTTCATTGACAAGATGGTGAGACCAATAGAGAAATGGACACGAATTAATCTCATCTCCTACATTTAATCCTGGCATCTGCTGCCAGGATGACTTTTATCTTGCTCTTCTACACATCCATAAGTGAGATAATACTTACATTTCAAATATATTTTAAAGTGAATCTTTCCATTTATACAAACTCACTTTGATCTACTGAGCAAAGCAATGCTGTACCACAGTAAGTAAAACTTTCCTTGATTCTATTTTAAGATTATTTATATGAAACAAAAACAAGCAGATCTAACTAGTCAGATTTTTTAAGCAAGTTGTTTCTAAAAAAATAAGGTTTAACCCATTGTCTTAGGTTTCAAAACTACCTTCTTGAGGGAACAAAATAATAGATAATTTAAACTTTTATGCATCAAATGTCTTCTATCCTCTGTGTGCATTTTTTAGGACTAATATTTTTATCTGCTTATGGAAGTGGACTCAAGGTAAAACCACTTGCAAGACATGCTCAGAAAATGACAAACAGTGGCAGAATGATCTGCACATTTTGCATTAATCTCCTTAACCCGTGCAGAGAAAGGAAGCTGGCCTCATCACAGCATTTCCCAGAGAGCATTTTAAGCACTCACCATATCATAATAGTGCAGCCCTGGTTGGTCATAGGGAAAAATAGCACAAATGTAGATAATTACAGTGGAATGCAGTGCGTGGTTACAGGACTCCTGTACTTCAACCAGAATAGAACTCCTAATTATCTCAAAAGCCTAATTTTATAAAAATCAGAAACAGTTACCAAAGAAACTATGCAAAATGGTAAAACCTTAGACTACTGAAATGTACAAGACATACAAAAAATTTGGGTACAGGGGAAATAGCCTACAGATCCAGAACTGTGGTGGTTTTGATGGGGTCTTTCAACGTATGGATCCCACTTAGCCCAACAGGCTGTGTTATTCTTGCTTGTCAGCTTTAGTGGGCAAAATACTAGGAGCTGATTAAATGAGGAAAAATGCAAAACCTTAGTCCCAGGAGTTGAACACCTACTGAGTGTCTTGCACTGAGCCAAGACTTTCTAACATATATTATTTATAATCAAAGTCACAGTTCTATAATTAGACACAATTTCCTTAAATTTCAGAGGATATAACCTCTCGGAAATACAGTGGCTTGCTCCAGGCCAGTGGTGGTAAACGTACGCTAAGCATGTTATTTTTCTTTTAAGACAAAAGATGTTAATGTAGGAGCTGTTTTTTCTAAAGCCTCAGTATTCAGGTTTAATTGCAGTGCTGGTACTTTGCAATAAACCAGTGGGTTTGGGGTTGCAGCTTGAGCACTCATTCTGTGAGTTCGCCATCAGTGCTTTCGACTTTTGTTTCTCAAAGGATGGCTTCCGGATCAGCAACCTTAGCATTTTTAGTTTACTGGAAAGGTGAAAAAAAATGAAATCTCCGGTGTCACCACAGACCTTGAAGTCAGAAGCCGCATTTTAGCAAGCTCTCCAGGTGATTCATATGCAATTTTCATTTTGAAAAGCCTATGCTACCTCATCACCTTGTGACAAACACAAACGTCTGACCAGGCGTCTCTGTCTCCAAAGATTGTCCTTCCATCCACGCCGCAGCTGCCACTATTACAGGTCATGCTGGCGATGCATTCCTCCTTCCAGACTCCTACAAGCTTCTCGGAGGGGTGCTGGAGGGGTGTGTGAGTCTCTGCTGGCTCCCAGGAGTACTGAGCGCATGGTGTTACAGCGCTGAGTTGACTTGGTAGCCCTGCTGGCATGGCACCTCCCCTCCTGTGCTCCACAGTCTCCGTTAGGGCTTCCTTTGGGAAAGCACAATGTAGCTTCCGCATCCTGTTTGCCACTGCGCAGTGTGAACCTGATGAGATCTCCAAAAGCCTGAGAGGAACGTGCTGCCTTGCCATATTTAGCATTGGCTAGGGGTTTTTTTTTCTACCTTGCTTTGCTTTTCATCATGATTCGGCGGGAACCGAATCACTGCACATACAAATAGTTGTAATTGCTTAGGAAATGTAAATATAGAGCTATAATCACTCAACTGAATGGTAAAAACCAATCTCCAAAGAAGAAACCTCTTTATTTGCATAAAAATTTTCATTGCTCTAATGACCTCAACTTTTTATAGCATATGAACTGTAATTGTCATTGAATTTGATTATTTGTGAAAACTGAAAAATTTGGAGAAACATAAAAGCTGATCAGGCCTGATGGTGCACCATATGAACTTTGCCATCTAAGTGTCATCCGTCATAATAACTTGGAAATAGTCACCCCTTCCTCTAAACTTTTCTCTAAAAATAGAATAACTTGTTACCCATGATTCATGTATTGGGGCATGCCTACCATGAAGAGAACAAATTAAATACAAGGCATTTAGAAACTTCCTTTGTTAAAATAAAATTAGTAAAAATGAAAGCAAAATTGTGTTTGTGGGTATTTGGAGCAAATACCAGAAAATGGTAGAAAATGTAGGTGTTAGTAGAAGAAAGCTATAGATTAGAAAAATAAACATGTAATATGAAAATGAACTTTCCTGCAACTTATTGGTATAGCTTTAAGGAACAATTTGATGGCAACACACTGAATAAGTTAAAATAAATTACATGACATATTGCTTTTATCCAACATGGAGAAATGTATAAATTAATTACAAAGTGGCTAAAACTCAAGAAAGAATCTGCAATTGAGAGACTCACAGTATCCATATCTGAACAGAACATGGGAAACATAACATAAGATGCTATACTTCTTTTTAAATAAAGAGAACTTTAGTGAATATTTTCTTTTCCAGCATGATTCCCCAAATCCCACAACCACAAATGATGCGTATGACCATTTGAGGCTGAAGTTGTGACCACTTCTAAATTACATCAGCCACTTGCATGCATGGAACTTGGAAAACAAGTCTATGGCCAGGGATGCAGCTCAGTGGTACAGTGCCTGCCTGGCAAGCACAAGGTCCTGAGTTTGAATTACGGTAGAAAAAAAAAAGAAAGAAAGAGAAAAGAGAGAGAGAGAGAGAGAGAGAGAGAGAGAGAGAGAGAGAGA